AGGGTTTCCCACACACCACACAGCTTGGGCTTGTAGTGATCCTCCTATTTCAGCCTCCCCAGCACTGAGATTATAGGCAAGCACCATCACGCCTGATTTCAGTGGCCGGCAGGGCTCACCCTGGACAGGGCCAGCACAGAATGCAGTACAAGGGATCAACCCACGTCCTTGCGCTTGACAGGCAGGCGCTTAGAACACTGAGCTATCTCCTCAGTCCACTAATTATTCTTACGATGTGAAATATTAATGATACCTGTGATGACTAAGGAGTCAAAAATCAAATGAGATTGCAAAAGAATATCACATTTATGAGGAAAGTTCTGTTTGAATCTCTTTCTTTTGTTCTTTCTTTCCTTCTGGTACTGGGGACTGCACATAGGTATTCTCACTGAGTTACATTCTTCGCCCTTTTTCTTAATCTTTGAGACAATCACACTACGTAGCTAAATTTGTCCAGACTGGGTTCAAATTTGTGATCCCTGAGTCCTGGGATTAGGTGTGTGCTACTATACTCAGCTTGCTTTGGACATTTAAAGTGTACAGATTTTAAAAAACCAACAAAACACAAGTTGAGTATCCCTAACCTAAAATGCTCTAAAATCCCAAACTTTTTGAATTCCAACATAATGCTCAAAAACTTTTAGATTTTTGGATTAAGGATGCTCTGTCTGTACAATATGTGCAATTACTGCACATCCCTAAAAGCCTCTGAAATCTGAAACACTTCTTGTCCCTAGCACTTTGAATGAGGAATGGTCAGCCTATTCAGTTGAAGCACTGGGTGTCAGGTCCACGAGACAAGGGTAGACTTAAGGAAGACACGTATGAGTGGTCGCACATTTGTGGTTTCAGACCCAAGTAAACTTGTGAGACTAGAAGGGAGCTGAGGTGGAGCCTGGGGATTAGCAGCATTTGAGAAGCAAGCTCACCAAGATCTGGAGGACCTCTACCTTCCCACAACATACCAAAACTAAGTATAGATAATGCTAATTATTCTGACTTATTTGGTACAGGGTCTCCCTACACACTCTGCAGCTCCAACTTGTAGTGATCCTCCTATTTCAGCCTCCCCAGTGCTGGGATTACAGGCATGTGCCACTACGCATTAGAAAACCAAGGAGAAGCCTGCCTTCTCCAGGATAGCAAAACGATGGGAGCTGATCATGGACTCTAGGGGAAAAGAAGGAATAATCCCCAAATGCCCAGTGCAACATGGGTCAAAAAAATTAGTAACACAGTTGCTAATTTCTTACCTAAATTAGACCGAGTCAAGTCTCTTTTGGCAAATTATTGAGTAATATCATAAGATGAAATTGTATCTCCTTTCAACAATTTGTGCTGCTGTGCCAGCCCCACCCCTGGGGAGCACTGAGACTGGGTGTGGTGGCGCACACCTGTAATCCTAGTGCTTGGGAGGCTGAAAAACAGGAAGATCACTACATAGTGAGACCCTGTACCAAATACATTTTTTATAAAAAGTAAACATCTTTGATGATTACAATATCTTGATTTCTTTTGTTTTACCCAGTAGAGCAACAAATTCTAATTGACCAGTCAAGAGACTTATTTAATTCACATATATGAAAGGAAAATACCTATATAGGGCTGGTGAGATAACTCAGTGGTGTAAAGTGCCTGGTTAGGCAAGCTTAGGCAGGAGTGAAAGGACCACGGTTCAATCCCAGGCACCACATGTCTAGCCCCTCCCCCAGGGTGGGCTGGGCCGGCCAAACACACACACACACACACACACACACACACACACACACACAAAATCTAAAAATGGTCATCATAGAGATGAGTAGCAGAATACATGAAAAATACCTGGCTCTTCATGTAGAAAAGTAGGGATAGTGAAGTGTGGAAGTTAATAAAGGATATTAACTCTTTCTGACCCCAAAGAAAGGGTAACTTCTAGATGCCCTTTCCTTTCTAATTGATCTTCAGAAGAAATTATGGCTGGGCACATGGAGGCTATTAGAGCTACCTATCATTATTACTTCTTCCCTTTTAGCACATGATAGGATTGCCCTTCTCTGGGTGGTCCTGTGACTTGCTCTACCCAATGAAATGTGAGCAGGAGTAGCTTGTCTCATTTCTGGGATACATCTCTAAGAATTGGTGTCAGATCTATCATACTCATTGGGATCATGATCTTGCCCTTCATGATTTGACATGAGCCTTGCCACTAAAGTGATCATTGTACTCTGGATGGTAAAGATAGTTAACAAAAGGTACTAAATGAGTCAAAATATTTAGAGATTCAGCTAACACAAAATTGATGTTATTTTGGTAATAATAATTAAGATTATAAAGATGGGCACGGTGGCTCACACTTGTAATCCCAGCACTTGAGAGACTGAGGCACAAGGATCCTTGCAAGTTTGAGACCAGCCTGGGCTACAAAGTGAGCTGAAGGCCAGCCTGAACTGCATAACAAGACCCCATCTCAAAAAGATAAAAAAATAAAAAATAACATTATACAATGCCTTAGAATTTTCACATGTTATTGCCTGACTTATTTTCATTGGTCATTCAAGACATGCAAATTAAAATAATGTTGAGATTCCATCTTACACCAGAAAGAATGGACCTCATCAAGAAGTCAACCAATAACAAATGCTGGAGACTCTGTGCGGAAAAAGGAACCCTTCTCCACTGGTGGTGGGAGTGCAGGTTGGTACAACCATTATGGAAATCAGTGTGGAGATTCATCAAAATCTAGCATTAGAGATCCAATTCAAGCCAGCTATTCTCCTCCTGAGTATTTTTCCAAAAGAACTGAAATCATCATACTACAGTGATACATGTGCACCCACGTTTATAGCAACACAATTTGCCATACCTAAATCTTTCAGACAGCCCAAATACCCACAACTGAGGAATGGATAAAAAAGAGGTGGTATTTTTACGCAATGGAGTATAACTTCATTATAAAAAAGATACATTTGACGCTTTTATAGATAAATGGATGCAACTAGAGACCATACTCTTCAGTGAAATAAATCAGACTTTCATGTGCAAACATTGTGTTGTCTCACTAGTGTGAGAACCTGAAAGAGTAAATAAAACCTGAAAGGTACAATAAATACTGTGAAATGGAAAGAATCTGTTCAATGGGAAGGAAAAAATGGGATGAGGAAAAGGACAAAAGAAAGAAGGGAAAAAGATATATTCCTGTATATATGCAGGATAGTTTGGATAATTGTACTGCTTAGTTCTGCTGATCTACTGAAAGGAGCAGTTAAGGCTTAAATTTTTAAAAATTATTTATTTATTTTTCTTCTTTTTATTACCACTTTTTTTCTTACCAATTTTGCAGGTTTATATGTGGTAACCTAAACAACTAATTTGAAGATAACATTATGTAATACAACATTGTTGAATTCCTATTTGCTTAATAAAGTTTTGTATTATTTCTAATGTTTTTTACCATTAGGTATTCTTTAAAACATAAAAAATAAAATATTATGAAAAAAATGTCTTCCTAGGAAACAGGATCATACTCATTGCCAAATTCCTTTTCAATATCCATGCTCCACTGTTTAAAACATATAGTAAGTGCTTCATAAATGCTCCTTTGAGGAAACTGAGAAGAGATAAGTCCAAGGTTATGAACCACCAAGAGGATTCAAATCAAAGTCTTCTGACAACATTTATCATTTATTGAGTACAGAGGAAGAAAGACTGGCTCTGTCATAGAACTATAAGATCTACAAGTTGTGGATTTTTCTAGACCGTGGTGTCCTATTGACTAAAAATTTCATACAGCAACCCATTGGACCCCTTCTGTCTCTCAGACCAAAGTGTTCTGTCTCTCATAAATATATTCTGCTCTAAATGTCCACTCACCATTGTTCGGACAAGGCTATTCTGGGCCATGTTGGGGATAAAAACAAGTCCACTGTAAATCTTGTTTAAACAGACAAAACCTGAACACAGAATGAATAGTATTACTGATTCCTTCTAGGTAAGATTTCTTAGGATATGGGACCACAGAACTGCTCCTACTTCCTGACAGCAACCACTTTAGGGTAACACCTTACTTTGTTGAACTCTTCCCTAAGTCACTGAAAACGTGCCCATAAGAAATTCTGACCTTCTGGAGGCCAAGGGGATGGCTCAGTAGAATAAGCGCTTCCTTGGCAGGCGCAAGGGCCTGAGTTCAATCGCTGCTTCTGTAAAAAAAAAAAAGCTTCTTTCTGACCCTATCTTGTATCTGCCTATTCAAAATAGTTAGGATAGATACACAGCTACTTTCTCTTAATTCAGTGAATAGAAAGATTTGTACTAATAGTGTTTGTAGACAGGATATCATGTCTGCATCTTGTACTATGAATAACCAGTAAGAAGACAACAATCTGCAATGCATTAATTATTGAAACTGTTCTACTAATCTGTTTTGAAACTGTCTCATTGCTAATTGTTTCTTAATAAAATTATTTTTTAAAAAATTCTGGCCTTCTTGCTTAGATAGCCCATGCGTCCCTGTACATGCATCCTCCTTGCTGCAAGAATACCCCAGTTCTACAGGTGTGCATCTGCAATGTGCGTGAGGGCCCTGACCATGCTCAGGGAGGTCACTGGCCAACCACACTCAGGAGCTATGCTGTGATGCATGCAACGGATTTAATTACAACAACTCTATAAGGCTTACTAACCCTGCTAGGTAGATAAAGAAATGGAGGTTCACAGAGATTTCAAAATTTGTCCAAGCCACCACTAGTAAAAGCCACATTCCAACCCAAGGCTCTTTGCTAAGAACATGCTCTCCTGTGCCTTTTACAGGCACCCACCACACTTCCCCCAAACACACACACACACACACACACACACACCTTGTTCAGCAGGCCGGAATGCTACAGGGAGCTGCAACACACAGCTACTTTTATTTCTAGGAATCACAATATTCTAAACCAGAAAATATTTTCCACTGAAGACGTCGCAAAAGCCTCCTGCCAGCGGTTGCCAGCTGGGGAGGGTGTCCTGGGGCGGACACGCGAGACTGATGTTCTCCAGGACCAATCGCCGCACGGAGCCGGCCGCAGGGACCAATGGCGGGAGACCAGGGCGAGGTAGGGTAGGCAGCGGGCCGCCGGGTCTTCTTACCCGCTGCTCAGCTCCGCCGGCTGCGGCTGAGTCATGGCGCAGAGCGGGATGGGAGGGGCCGCGCGGTGACCTACGGCGGACCGAGCCGGCGAGCTCGGAGCAGGCTGAGACCGCCCTCGCCGGGCAGCTAAGAGCCGCGGGCAGCGCAGCGAAGGTCGCAAGTGTCACTCTGGACGCAAGAAGTGCGCTCGCCTCGGTTTGCCTTAAAATAGGGTTTGAGTTTCCCCGCCAGCGTGCGGTCTTGGGTAGAGCTACACGGAAAAGTCAGTTCCCACCCCGCGCGCTCGGCTGCTCCAGCCCAACCCAGCCCTGGGAGCTGTCCCCAGCAGGAGCATCCGAGCCGCCTGCCCGCTAAGGGTCGGCCTGCGCCTCGCCTGGCAGCAAGACTAATCGCGGGTGAGTTTAAGAACCAGAACAAAACAAAAACACCTTCCGATTGGGAGGTTCTTTTTTAAAAGGCACCTCCCTGTCTTTTAACACGCAGCAAAATAACACCGATAGTTGCGTAACTTTTGTGATCCAAAAGGAACTTCATTGTTTACCTTTCCGAAAACCAGCTGATAATACATGAGGTGAAAACTCGGAGCGACCGCTGGATGGTGAGCACTTAGTAAGATTATTGCAAAACGTCGTCCTGAGAATGACTTGAGCCCTGAGTTCCAAGTTTTAAAATGAAAAGTGTTGACCGTCTCGGGTTTAGAGTTCTAGATCCAAAGTAAAATTATCTCTCAAGGAAGTAGTCACTACTTTTCTGTTTTTGTTTTGCTGATTTATGTTCAGTCCACAAAATTGTTCTGACTTCCCTATCTTTGAAAAATCTAGCCACTGGGATAGGAGTGCAATAGACTGCTTCTCTTTCTTTTTTTCGTAGAAAAAAAGCTGCCTACTCAAGCAACATGAAAATTTTATTTGTCGAACCTGCCGTTTTCTTTACTGCATTTGCTATGAGTTTGACCACCCCACTGACAACACAGTACCTGTATAGGAGAATATGGGAAGAAACAGGCAACTACAGTTTTGCATTTGATAGCAATATTTCTAAGTGCGAACAAAACGAAAGCAGCACACTTACTGCATTCCAGAAGGTAAGAAATTAAAGTACCTCTCAAGCATAATAAAAAGGGAATGTGAAACAAGTTTTAAATGAAGGAGGAGGATGCAGTATACACTGGCCTTTCAAGGGTGAGAGGCCTTTCAGACTCTCAAATCCCAAATCACATGGCTTTTCTCAGTTCTCATCTCATTCCAAGTTTTGTGACTTCTATCACTGCCTCTCCCTCACACCCCTTCTGTGTGACATTAGCTCTTCTCCTTTCTGCTGGAAAATCCCAGCACGTCTCATCTCTGTGGTTGTCTTCTTTCTCCCTCCTGAACCAGTTTCTGCTGGAACTGGCTATGTGGTGGACAGGGGTAGGTGGAGACTGATATGTCCCGTCCCCACCACCTGCATCTGCTTGTCCCAACTTTCAGAAACTCCAGAAGGTGACCAGTCACTGACGATTGTGGGCTGAGGCCTGTCCGTGGGTGGGGTGTGTTTATCACTGGTCTACTGGTGGCATTATCAGCTTTAACTCCTACATGTTGAGATCTGTGAGAACATCTGGGGTAGGAAGAACTTACTTTTGCTCTCAGGACATAGAACATGTCGAGCTAGATACACAGGATGTTCCTGGCTACCTCAGGAGCTTCCTGCCCTTATGCTTTGTTCATAGAAGCCTGTCAGTGTCCAGAGACAAAAATGGTGGCATTCAGATTTGTAAATGCTCTCCCAACCCCCAGGCCTCCAAAGCAGCTTATGAACTAAGAACACTTCCCCTTGGGAGTAGTTTGTGACAGCAAAGGAATGGTGCTGCCCTCCCCATCCTAGATAAGAGATGAAGGGAATCGGGCCACCTCCCCTGGCTCTGACAGTAGCTCCTGGAAGAGAGAATGTGAAGACAAGGCTGAGGGCCCTAGAGGGAAGGTGTGCCCCTCAAAAGGTCACGTAAGAGCTGGCTGGGGTGAAGTCCAGCTGTTTAGCACAGCTCCTGATGGACCCATTTTCTCATTTCTGTGAGAGAAATTTTCTTGGAACTGATTAATTCTGCCACATAGACAGTAAGGCTGTAGCCTCATGTAAGTCATAAAGAGAGGAGGACCCAAGGCCTCACTGGTTCTATCCCCCTTGGAGAATGTCTCATCATATGATCTTCTAGGAAGAAGGAGGCTCCGTAGGCCCATCAGCTGCCTGGTTCTTTGCTTTCCTCTTGCCCCACTCCAGTCCAAGAGCAGACCCCTTGGCCCTTTGGAGGGAGCAGGGTGGAGAGGACCAAAGTACCTTCTGCTCCAATCTTCCTGCTCCAGGTACCTTAGCTCTGACTGAGCAGGTGATTAATGTTGTGCCCTCCACCTCACTTGGCCTGACCCAGCCACAGGGAGCCCTCCACTGCCCAGAGCAGTAGTTCATTTCAAAGATTTGACTCAGTTTTCAAATTGGTAAACTGTTTTTCATTATTGTTTTAAACTGGATTAATATTTAAGAGAACACACTACTCCTCCTGATCTCTCCCCCGCAAAGTTGGGTTTCTTAGACTCTGATGCTTTTACTCAGAGTGGGCATCCAGAAACCACCCCCACCCAGAGCCAGTACATAGTGGGGTGACCACTCACCTTTTAAAAAAGGACGTTTTTGCCAAGAAACTACCATCACCTTCAGCACTTCCTTCTGGCTTCTTTCACTATCTTATCCCTGCTCCATTGGTCTGAGAGATATCCTCAGCCCCATCCAACAGCAGCGTTTTCTGTTCCCTCAGCTTGCCTCTGTAGGCTGTTTTTCAGCCCAGCCTTGCTGGATGGGCTCTGGCCAGTTGTCCTCAAAAATTAGTCCAAACTTGGAAGGGGCTTGTGGACTATTTGTTTTCTCCATATTGGGAATTGGACTCAGGGCCTTTGTACTACCATCCCCAGACCTATTTTATTTTTTGTTTTGAAAAAAATTCTTGCTAAACTGCCCAGGCCAGACTCATACTTGCAGTCCTCCTGCATCTGCCTTCCAGAGTGCGGGGACTACAGGGGTATGCACTATGCTCAGCATGTGGACAGTTCTTGTAACCATAAAAAGCAGAGATGGCGCAGCACTGGGGAAAGTCCTTAATAAAATAAATAATTAAATAGGTGATTTCTTCAGCTAAGTTTGTTTTCTTATCTTTGGAGGACCAACTGTGTGTGAGGGGATGGTGCCTGTTACAATAGTAGAGTTCTTACCATGTTTATATATCCTTCCTATGTAACAAATGCACACATGTATCTATGTATTACAATGCCAAATATTATGAATTTTGGGTTATAGATGGTAATAAACTGAGCTCTCTCACTTCTTTTTTGACCTTTTGAAAGTTTACATGATAATGAAAGTCTTACTTTTAGCCTACATGCCATTAATACACAAACATATATGTACTCATAAATACCTTACGATTGACTTTACCTACATTGCAGATCTTCAAATACAAACTTCTCTTAGACAATGATATTAAGCTCAAAAGGACCTTTAACAAAATGGCAAGGTTGTGGCAGGAAAATTCTTGCTAGGGAGGAAAGGGATAAGGACTTCTAGGATTGTTTGTTGACTTTTGTAAGGGAAGCTATTTGCAAATTTACTTTCCCTTCCCCTGTTGAATGGTGAATTTTAAAGGAATAAATTGGCAATGGGGTTCTGCTCTTTTCTGACAGCTATTCTAACATAGGGACTTTGCTATTTGAGAGAGGAAACCCAGCAGATCATGACGTTATTTTTTTCTGAAATTTGGTTTTAAACCTTTTAATAATTAACACAAGCCCTATTACTGGCAGTCTCCTACTTATGAAAATGACATGGGATACTTTCTGCTCAGCTGGAGTTAATATACAGATTTCACCATATGAAATTTTGACCTTTTTAAAACTTATACTGCTTGCCTTTATCCTTGTCTCAGTACACTGTTGCCCTAATCTTGGATAGAAAATAGCATTTTAAAAATCTCTATCTACCTCTATGATATATATCTATAATTCTCCAGTGTTTGAAATACACACATAGCCAGGCAAGTGGGTGTGCACCTGGAACACCAGCACTCTGGGAAGCTGGAGCAGTAATATCACAAGCTCAAGTCCAGCCTGAGCAATTTAGTGAATTAGCAAGATCCTGTGTCAAAAATTTCACCAAGCTTAGGCTGTGAATGTGGCTTAGTATGAAGGCCCTTGGTCCAGTCCCCAGGTGAAAAGCAAAGAATAACATATGCGCCATTTGTTTCTTATCTCCCAATAGTGATTTATGATGGAAATAAGCTTTTGTCCTTGTTAAAATTTATATTTAAAAACATAGATATGAGCAGATAGTCTGTATACAAGATTGGATTAGGAAGGTTAATCAATAGAGGAAGACAAGACTGGGGTAAAGGGTTAGAAATAGGGGAAAGGACCCTGCACTGGAACATTTGTTGAGAAGATGATTAAAAGGTAACACTTTTGAACTTTAAAAATAACTTTTTATTTATTTATTCAATAAGTGTTTACTTCATGGCCACTATACCTGCAGGAGATACAGATATCTGCCCAGCAAGTGTAACCAAATAAAAATAGAACAAATAAAACTGATTGAGTACTGACTATGCCAGCGGGAGCTGGTATCAAACACCTTTCTTTTAAATTTGACCCGCTACCAGCCTGTGAAGTAAGGGTTGTTGTTACCCCACCTATCAGATGAAGAGGTTGTTAAGCCTGTTGGTCAGGCTCTTGCACAGCGAGCAAAGGACAGAAGGCTTACTTTACTTGACTCTTCATACATTATGTGCTGTGCACCGCCCTGAGCCTAGCAGTGCTCTCAGGGCTGTTAAAAGCATGGTGAAGGTAACAAATTCTTCCCTTCCTGTGGGTCAGGTTGTAGAGGCTATAGTTGATATTTTTATATTTCATCAGTTGTTTAGGCTTTCAACTAGTACATGAAAAAACTTTTTAATGCCTTGCTGTAGCATGTCTTATTATAAAGGTGGAAAAGTCAGATCTCCAAAATAAAAGATACAATCAATAAATGGGCAAGTGAAATGAATAAACCAGTGGTGGTGAACCAATGGCATCAGTGTTGTTTTTTCTTTTAAAACAAAAGATGTTAATGCATGAGTTACTTTTTCCCAAGCTAAAACCTCAGTATTCACGTTTAATTACAGGGTTGGAACTTTGTGATAAATGAGTTTTGGCTTGCTATTGGGCACTCATCTCTAAAGGGTTCACTGTCACTAGGATAGACACCTAAAAAAGAAGTACAGATGATCAATAAGTTTACATGAAGACAAGGCTGGGGAGATAGCTCAGCCATCTAAGCGCATGCCTGGTAAGTGCATGGTCCCAAGTTTGATCCCCAGTACTGCATGTCATGTCCGCCCCAGGACCTGGGTGTAGTGGCACACACCTGTAATCCCAGTGCTGGGGAGGTTGAGACAAGAGGATCACTATGAGTCTGAGCTGCATAGCAAGACCTTGTACCAAATAAATAAAATTAAAAAAAATTATTTTTAAGTTTACATGAAAACATGCTCAACATCCCTGGCCACTGGAGCAATACAAATCAAAGCACGACTGAGATTCCGTCTCACCCCAGAAAGAATGAATGGCTGTCATTGTGAAATCAAATAATGATAAATCCCTGTGAGGCTGTGGGAAAAAAGAACCCACATTCCACACAGTTACTGAGAATGTAAATTAGTACACCCATTGTGGAAATCAATGTGGAGATTAAAAAAAAAAAAACAACAAAAAACCAGCCCTGAAACTAGATATTCCATTTGACCCAGCTATTCTCCTTCTAGGCATCTTCCTGAAAAAGTTAAAGATCTCATACTCTGGTGATCCATGCATGTACATGTTTATAGCAGTGCAATTCATAATAGCTAAAGCTTGGAGAAAACCTATATGTCCATCAACAGATGCAAGAAAATGGATTTACATACAGTGGAGTACTACTCTGCCATAAAGAAAGAAACTGAGTCATAAAAAAATGTATGTACTCTGAGACCATAATATTAAGTGAAGTAAATTAGGCATATACACTTTTAAGTATGAGACAGTTACTTTTATATGAGAAACATGAGTATAAATAAAGAGTGAAACTTTTTAAAAAAATCATAGGAAGTAGGGAGAGAGGTCTTTCTCAGACAGGAAGGAGATCAAGAGTGGAAGGAATGGGAAAGAGGATAAATAAAGAATTAAGATGTGTTAAGTATATGTACCAATTCATCACAAGGAATCTAAAAGTCATGTACTACAGACATCTATAAATGAGTAAATTTAAAAATACAGTTGGAAAATAAAAAGTAGCAAGCAGATGTTTTACTGTCATCCAAAATTCTTTCCATCAAATGACTAATACAGCAGTTTGTCACAGCTCCCTGTGTGTGTGTACTTCTTGGTCCTCATTGGCTTGGTCCTAAGAAGTTATGTTCATCCTACTCCTAAGCTCATGGTAGGTTTTAATAGAGTCCTCTTGGAACTTGTCTTATTATTATTATTGTTATTTTCTGTATTTTAGGGAAGGGTCTACAGGGTATTCAGGGTCTCAGTACTAGATCGGACTCATAGTGATCTGCCTGTTTACAGGCTCCCAGCAGCTGGGATTACAGGCTTGCACCACCATGCCCCAGGAGTGGAGCCAGCATGCAAGGCCCGGGAATCAAACACCTGGCCCCTGCATCTGCTGAGCTATTTGGCTGGCCTTTATTTTTATGATTTTTTAAGTTCAATAAATAAAGGAATAAGTTTCTCACTAATCTATTTGTGGAGTCACAAGTAAAAATGACAACAGAGATCTGCCTACATAAATAGCTACCTACCAAGCCTGGCGTGTGTATGAGCTATTCTCTGTCCCATGACATAGGCAGGAAGGCCTATCTCAAGAAAGGCTACCGCTGTTAGTTTAGGAATGAGGTCATGATCTCACTGTGCAAACTGTTCCTAGAAGGAAGGAAAATCATTCTCTGGCCAGTACTGGAAAGCTTGGGGTATACAGTATATACATTTTTCCTTTTATGGTTTCAAGTCTTCACTGTATGCACTTGAATGCCATGACTGTGTATAGTTATGCCACCTTTAAATACCTGTCCTGCATACTGGGTGAGGATTTGAGCCATATTTGGTCCCTCCCACGCACCACAGATTCCCCACCCTTGACTTACTAGCTAATGTGGAGAAAAGTATACATTGTGATATTTTTATGGATATTGTATAACATCTGTAAACTCCATTGTCTTCTTTTTATATTTTTTTACAGGAAGTTCAGAAAAAAGCATCTCTTTTTAATCTGCAGATGGAGATGAGTGGGTTAATTCCTGCCCTGGTGTCTACATTCTTTCTTTTGTCTAGTAGTGATCAGCGTGGACGAAAATTCCCTATTATTCTATCTTCTATTGGTATTCTTGCCAGTAATATTTGGCTGTGTTTGCTTTGCTATTTTGCTTTTCCACTCCAGCTTTTGATAGCCTCTACCTTTATTTGTGCTCTTTTGGGGAATTTCAACACATTTTGGTCAGCTTGTTTTGCCTATGTAGTTGATCAGTGTAAAGAAGACAAACAAACAATTCGAATCGCTATAGTTGACTGCATGATTGGAATTGTTTCTGGGTTAACAGGGCTGTCATCTGGCTATTTTATTAGGCAACTAGGTTTTGTGTGGTCATTTTTAATTATTGTTATAGCTCTTGTTATTAATTTGGTTTTTATTATATTTTTCCTTGGTGATTCAATAAAAGAGTCTTCGTCTCAGAATGTTACTATGTCATGTGCTGAAAGCTTTAAGAACCAGTTTCAGCGAACTTACATGCTTTTTAAAAATGCTTCTGGTAAGCAGCGGTCTTTGCTGTGTTTGTTACTTTTTACAGTGGTCATTTATTTTTTTGTGATAATTGGCATATCTCCAGTTCTTATCATTTATGAATTGGGTTCCCCGCTCTGCTGGAATGAAGTTCTTATCGGGTATGGGTCAGCTTTGGGTAGTGTCTCCTTTTTTAGTAGTTTCCTTGGAATATGGCTTTTTTCTCACTGCATGGAAGATATTTATATTGCCTTCATTGGAATTTTTACCACCATGACAGGAATAGTTATGACTGCTTTTGCCAAAACTACGCTGTTGATGTTTTTAGGTGAGTTACAACTGTACCCTCAGAACTATGTCTTTGCTTTCTTATAAAATGAATTCAGTCTTTTGGGAGATAACCTTACATGTAAAACTTTATTTAACCTATTCTAGTTTATTAGATGTAAAAAGCCAGAAGCCAAAAGCCAAATCTGCTGAAGAAACAAATTCACTGAAAAACCACAACTTTCCACTTTTGCCAAAAAAAAAGATTGTTTTGAGGAACATTCTTCACGTGAATCAGTTCTTCAATATAACTGCCACTAAAGTGAACATTTCATAGAATGCTGCTTCATAGATTACCTCTGAAAAATATTTAGGACAATTAAATAAAGTATACCCAAAAGATTTATAAGAAAAATTTATATTTGTTGAATATATTCAAGAAGAAAATTCCGGGGCTTTTTTCCAGTATCTTCTGATATTTGTCATACTGTGTTTCAAAAATATCTGGGATGTGCTTCACCAAAGTAATTTCACCTTACAATAACAGGTCACAACCTAAGTAGAAAATACTGCTATGAAGTTTACATGAAATGAGACATCATAAACACTGCTTCCAAAGAAATGAAGGCAGCCAGAGGTGCTCTGGGTTTGCTCTGATGGTTCTGACCCTGTTAACACCAAGGAAAGTGTCTCTCAGACCTTCCTCAGGAAGAAAGTTTTTTTTTTTTTTCTCTCTCAATCTTTTTGGTCTCAGTAATTCAGGTTGGCCTTGAACCCACAATGATCCTCCTGCCTCAGCCTCCAGAGTGCTGGGATTACTGGCATGCATCACCCACACCCAGCTAAGAAAGTTCTTTAAGGCAGGTTTGCACCTAGATCTAACAGGGAGTCATTACATGACTTGGCTTGTAATGAAGTGCTGTCTGGCAAATTGGACTACTTCTTGACTGTGTGTCTCAGCTATTTTTGTAGGGACTGAATGACGTCTTGCATTGGAAGGGACAATGAAACTGTCAAGTGGGACTTGAGGAATGATTCAGTTCAGTCCTTTTTCTGATGAAGCAATCAACCCCTGCTGCCCTGCAGGGAAGCAATGTGACCAGTGAGCCTTAATCCCCACCAGAAGCACTAAGTAACCTTGGGCAAATTACTAGATTCCTCTGAGCCCTCATTTTCTTATTCAGAGGGTTTTAAGGGACATTAGATGATGAAAGTGCTGAGCACAGGGCCCTCTATTCAACAAATGTTTCCCTTTCCTTTCTACCTAAGAATTGCTAAGCCCATTGAAGTTAGTATATGTGAAAATACTTTGAAGACCTCGAATGACCTGCAAATGTAATTTATCCTTAGTTTATGACATAATTAAAAAATGCTCCTATTAACAGTCATAACCTATGAACAGAGGGGCAACTTTATGCTCATGAAGTTATCCAACCACAAGATGAACAGCAAGATGGTAAAGAGCCAGTTTACCAATAAACAAATCCCTAGAGTAAAGGAATGTAACCCTGAAAAGGTCAAGAACACAGTCAAGAAAACCTAATTAACGCTCACAGTTTGCCAAGGAAGACGTTACTTTGTCATCAAAGCAATGGGCAAGCCCGTGTCAATTGGGAGGTGATATAGATCTGAACCTAAAACTTCATGAACATTTGTTGTTATACTGAACTAAGAATTACAGCTTAACTTTCAAATCCCCATACTCTACTTGAGTCATTAAATAGAACTCTACAATCAATTTGATCTGTAGAGGCAATAAGTTAGGATGCTCACAGGAAATGAAATGTTTAGATAGACTATCTTTCATGTAAAATTTGGCATTAGTGTTCTAAACTAGCCTTGCCTGATTATTTATCCAGTCATTTCTCTTACAGTCAGAGTGCCGTTCTTTCTTGTCATTGCACCGCTGTCTGTTTTACGATCCATGTTGTCAAGAGTGGTTCCTTCTACTGAACAAGGTGAGTTTAATTTAGTGAAGAAATATAATGAATGTTCTAACGCAAACCTATATTATGTCTGATGCTTCAGAATATTCTACAGCCTTCTGCTCTGATCTCTTTTTTGATGAAGTGGTGAGCTCTGCTAGAAAGAGGTTTATCCCCCAGACAAAGGAGACCCTGCCCAGGGCCCTTGCTTTAGGGGACAGGTCTGGCCTCTCTGGCTTTGATGCCCAGACAGCCAAGTAAACACATCCCCTGGGAGCCCATAAAACTCTCCCCTTCTGCCCAGCACTGGCTACCCGAATCTCTGGTTCCAGCCCAGATGGCTCTGGGTTCATGTCCAGTGACTGCTCGTGTGATCCTCTTCTGTGAACTATGCCCCCAAATTGATGGTTCATTAGCCAGATTTATAACTTTTAAATACAGTTTTGCCCATCAGTATCTGAGGAGGATCAGCTCAGGACCCCTTAATAACCAAAATCCACAAACGCTCAAATAAATAAAATGGTGTATGCACAGAACCTGCACTTACCCTCCTGTCTACTTTAAATAATCTCTAGATGACTTATAATACATAAAACAATGTAAATACTGTGAAATAGTTGTTAATGCCGTAATTTAGGAAATAATGACAGGAAAAAGTCTGTATGTCAGTACAGATGACGCCATCAGAGGCCTGTGACTTTTTTAATCCATGATTGATTGAATCTTCAGAGGAGGAACCCATGGATACAGAGGGCTAACTGTACTTTGGAGATACATGGAGGACTCCAGTTATCTTACTGTGGGCCCCACAAGTGTTACCATGGGCCTAAACTGAGTTGTATCAGGAAACAGGATCCCACTCAGCTGGCTCAAATTAAGGGACTTCTGTGAAGAGCAGGCTAGAGAGTGGACAGTGTGGAGACCAGCAAGGTGCTCAAATTGGGATGCAGAGGAGAAATACTACCCTCCATCCCTTTGATCAAGTGGGACAGGAAATTGGGCCAGCCAGGAAGTCCAAGGCCATAATCTAGGAAGTAAGCCTCCCAAGCACAGAACAGGGCATAGGGGATCAGACACTTGGGATGAACAGAAAATAACCAGCACAGAAAGAAGACAGATTAAATTTCTACTTAGGACTACTAGTTAGGTATTAGTATTCTCTTCCCTTTCTGCATCATATGATACAGATTTAAGTGCTTTCTCTTGTTTCATATCTTAGCCCTGTACAAGTATTCTTATTTGATTATTTATATATAACTCATAAATATCCTGTTATATTTGTGTATTTGTATTAGTCAACATTGAGGAAAACTGAATCATTTCATACATTTTAAAATATATTTCTTGGTTTTTGTGCATAAGTCATAGCTATATATGCATACAATTGTTATAGAGCATGTGGTACTGATTACCTTGGAAACCATTTAGGAATACAAACATTTATAACTATACTGTGTAAAATTGTACCCCCTTCCTTGGATGATACAACAGTTTCTTAGCTGTGACACCAATAGCACGACAAAAGTGAGTTAGAAAAATTTCATTTAAAGATTCATCCTAAGTTCATCTTTTGAGGGCCGGATGTATAATTTTGTGGTAGAGTACTTGCCTAGCACATGCTAGACCTAGGAATCAATACTCAGGGCTGGAAAAAAAAAATCCTACTCAATTCATTCTTTGAAAATTTTTTGTGCTTCAAAAAATGACATAAAGGAAGCAAACAAAACCGGAGAAAATATTTTCAAATCATTGGTCTAGAAACTTGTATATAATATATATAAAAATCAGTAACAAAATGGCAACTCAGTTAAAAAAAAAGAGCAAAGGATCTTAAAAGCCATTTCTCCAAGGATGATCTATGAATAAAAGGCCAACAAACACATGGAAAATCCTAAATATCACTACAGCTAAGGGAAATGCTAGTCAAAACCATTATGAAGACCCCAAAGATGGCCGTAATAAAATAATCTGTAACAAGTTACGGTGAGGATATGGATATATTAGAAGCCTTACACACTTTTAGCTGGAATATAAAATGGTGCTTCCAGTTTGCAAGTCAAACTGGATTTGGCAGTTCCTCACAAAGTTAGATTATCTTATGAGCCAGAGAAGTGAAAATATATGTTCACATAAAATCTTGTATACCCATGTTCGTAGCAGCAATATTTACAATAGCCAAGTGGCAGAAACAATACAAGCAATGAATAGATAAACAAAATGCTGTGTATGTGCCAATGGTCTTTATATATATATATATATATATATATATATATATATATACACACATATACATACAATGTATACATGGAATCCTTACACAGTCATAAAAACAAATTATAAACAACAAAATAACAAATTATAAACAACAAAACAAATTATAAACAACAAAATAAAAAGTTAAACTTAGTGTATTATTTTCTTTTTAAAAAGAACCAAAATAGATTCACACGATCTACTTAATGTCAGTCATTCTTAACATGAAGGATTCTGACTAGTGTATATTTTTCTCTGTGCCACTTCAACAAACCCTAAGTTCCATCTGTGGTTATCACTCTAAGTAAATAAAAAAAAATTTAAAATATATTTGGGTGTCCAGTTACTTGAAGTCAACTTTCCATTTTGAACAGTTTATCCTGTGGTAGAATGGCCCTTTGCTTTAAGTTGGTCAGCATTAAATTGGTAAAATACACTCTTATTCCTGTACAAGCATCCAACAATGTAATTAAATCATTATTACTTGAAATGCTTTACGCATGAATAATTTATGTCTTTACACTGTGGAAGTCTTGCACTTCAGTATGTTTACAGTTTCTGTATCATCGCCTGAAATTTGCAAGCAGGCATTGAAGAGACTTTAGCAATTACAATACTTTTTATTCTCAAGTCTGACAAACCACCTCTGATTAAGCCACATGTAAATGCTAGAAAATTAGATGCATGTTCTAAATACTGCTTTCCCAAAGACATCTGAGTAAGCCAATGAAATTTGTTGTCCTGAAGCACAAAGAAGCCCTGATGATTTGCCCTTAGATTATCAATTTGTTTCTTGAATGATGTAGTCCAAAAGTCTTTACAAATGAACTTCATGATGTCTAACTTATCCTTGAACATTGAAGTATCCTTTGTAAACCTAAAAAGATCAACTTTTTATCAATCCTTGTCCCACTTGAAACCCTATGTTTTCCAGCTTAGTAATACATTGCCCATTTTCCACCTCCCCCTACTCCACTGATTTGTGCACTTTGGACACCATCTCCTTGTGCAGAAGCAAAAACAGTGCCTGTCCACCATTTCTGTTCTTCTTCCAGGCCCAGGTGTCAGCTCTCTTTTGGGCTACCTGGTGGTTCCAGCCAGCCCCACAGTGACCAGGTGGGCACCGCACTTCCCCACTCAGTGGCTCTGTCCCCTGTGGCTAAGAGACTGAAAATTGCACTTGGCCTCCTGAAGGCTGTGACCTAGCCAGCCGTACCTGGGGGAAGACCACCCCTGAGGCAGTCAAGTCCTGCGGCCCAGAGGAAGGGCCAAATGTCTCTTAATCTCCAGTGAAAAGAAATGGTTTTCTGACACACACTGTGATGAACCATGAAATCGTTATATACACTAAATGAAAAAGCTTAGTCACAAAATGCGATATATATTGTATAAGAATTTGATTCCTTTACTATGAAATGGCCAGGATGGGAAAATCTGAAGAGACAGAAATGAGATCAGGGCTTTCCAGGGCAGGATAGTGGAAGAGTAACTGCTAATAGAGACAAGAGTTTCATTTTTCTGTTGTTGTTTTGTACCAGGGATCTAACTCAAGACTTGGTGCTTACCAGGCAGGCACTTATGCTGCTGAGCTATCTCCCTGGCCCTAGAGTTTCTTTTGGGGTGATGGAAATACTACACAGAGTGGCAGTGATTGCCCAACTCTGTGAATGTACTAAAGGCTACTGAAGTATGTACTTTGAAAGAGTGGGTTTTGTGTTATGTAAATTATAGCTCAATAAAGTTATTAGGAAACAATTACCTGCTTTGACTTAGAAGTTAAAGTGGCTGCCGACTTCCGGGAACCCCCAGACCCAGTCCTAGCCCAGGTCCGGTGAGTGTGTGGAGAGCTTCCTGCTACCCTGCGCCAGCGGGACTAGTCCCAGCCCAGGCGCAGTGTGGGCCAGACCCTCTCCCACCCCCTTGGGCCGCCCCCCACCACTCCGCCATACCTCCCCCACCCCTTC